TAATCCCTATTTTAGGGACTAAAGTACTCTTGTCTGGGGGGTGGTGGGAAAAGTTAAGGTACAGTCTTAATTAAGACACTAAATGCAATCGATAAACTGTAAATCCATATTAACCAACCTTAAAGCCCACAGAGCTGGGATGTCTCTTTAATGTCTTTTGCGTGATACAGACAAATGCATTTTTTTGGTTCTGTAATAATGATTCAAGACAAATTACAAATGTTTTTTGAGGCACATGGATATTATGGGCACATACAATGCAGTCATTATGTATATTTAACCTAGGATAACCCAGTAAAGTCAAATACTAAAAACTTATTTTTGTTGATAATGTCGGCGGTTACATCATATCCACATCTTCACTTTACACTTTGCTCTCCTAGTATTGGGCACACTTTCCATGTTGTTTTCCCCCAACAGTAGCTGTGGTGCGTTGGTGGTGGTGGTGGTGGAGGGCAGCTCCCCAGGGCACTTACAACTACCCGTATGTCCCCGCGCTTGCCCTACAATTTCCATGGGACGTAAACGACAAAGACTCAGGGAACTTTTACGGCCACGGGGAACACGGGAACAATGACAATACACAGGGCAGGTGAGTCAGTGAGAGGGACGGACTCAACACCCAGGGTAGGTGAGTCAATGAGAGGGACGGACTCAACATCCAGGGTAGGTGAATCAATGAGAGGAACAGTGACAATACACAGGGCAGGGGAAATCAATGGTTACCGAGCCTCACCTTTACACTGTCTATGCCTCTCTATCCGTTCAAAATTCAGGATATACTCCACGTCGAATACAGATGTACACGAAAAAAAAAATATAATACACAAATACGATGCCCCAAGTACACATTTTTTAACATTCTTAGAGAATAATAAACAAAATTATAACTAACTTTCCCTTCCACAGTTCTACGTGAAGGTACCACACGGCTCTCTATGAGCTTTCAATACGCGGTTGACAAGAATAATGGTTACAATTACAGTATGGGCAGAGAAGGGAGGGCTCAACGCCACGCTCGACCAATCCACAACCGAGGACCACCCCCTATTGTGACTCGCTTTGCCCACACCTCCAAGTACAATCCCTGCCTTTAACGGATGACTCCTCTCCTAGACATGCCCTTCTTTACATTCCATCTCAACAGCATCTCCAGATTTGCTTCCAACGCTCGTTCAGTGAAGTTCCAGGGGTGATCACAGGGCCCGACTATACTGCTGGGAATGATCTCTCTATGAATCCCGATCCCTTCCCAGCTCATAGCAAACTAGCAGGCTTCAGAGCAACACCAGGACCTCTCTCAACTCGTGATTACTTACCAGGGTTCAGAGCAATTCCACGACCTCTCGCGGCTCACAGTGCCATGCCAGACTTCAAAGCAACCCTAGGAACCCTCCCGGCTCATAGCCCAATATTAGATTTCAGACCGGCAGCAGGACCATCCCAACTAATAGTCCCCTAGCTAGTTCCAGAGCGGCAGCAGGACTCCACCAAGCCCCGAGTCCCATATCAGACTTCGATGTGTCGCCCCAAACACTTTGGCAAGGCGAGGTCCCAATCGGTCTCCGCCCTCCAGAACAGATTCCTCTGCCTCCTATAGACACAAACCTACAGGAGTTCACTCCATCCACCGTCGACAAACCCAGAGACATTACACCCACATCCTTCTCTTCATCACACTACTTTCTTCACCCATCAAATTCACATCCATCCGCATCGTTTCCAGCGTTTGATCATTTTCCGTACACTCCTAATATATGTCTCCCAAGTCCCCGTTCGCCTCCGGATCACTTCAGACACACGCCAGAGATTCCAGCACCTTATCGTCATACGAAAAATCGAGTCTTTCCTTCCTATCTAACGTCATACCCAGGCGGAGTTTTCGCTTTGAAAGGTTTACCCAGACTAGAGATAAATGCAACGTACACTAGAAAATAACCCTGGCTCTGGAAAAATTGCCGCTCAAAAGAATTTTTCAACATTTCAACCACATCCCCCGGCTGCTTCCTGCCGTCCCCCCTGGAAGTCAGTTTCACGGTTACTGGCACGAACTCCATGAGAATCCTGGGTCGCCAACTGGTGAAGTTGGCTACGAGCGATTATATTCCCCGTCCCCCACCTCCACCAGGAGAAGAGGACCGTTGCGCTGAGTCCGCCTCCACCGAACTATGATTTAGTATTGTTAGCCGAAGCAGTGAACGCATCAATGAAAAATGAAGAACCAGTGTGAAGACCCGGGCTGTTGATGATGATGCACTTACTGCGGAAGATGGAGAATATGCGCTACAAGAAAACATACCGAAGGAGAATTTTCAACAGAAGACGGAGAATTTGCAGGAACAGAAGACAGAGAATTGCAGCAACACAAGACGGAGAATTTGCAGCAACACAAGACGGAGAATTTGCAGCAACACAAGACGGAGAATTTGCAGCAACACAAGACGGAGAATTTGCAGCAACACAAGACGGAGAAATTGCAGCAACACAAGACGGAGAATTTTCAGCAACACAAGACGGAGAATTTGCAGCAACACAAGACGGAGAATTTGCAGTAACAGAAGACGGTGAATTTGCAGCAGCAGAAGAGGAACTTGCAAAAAAAGGATCATTCGCAAGAAAAGAAAGTGACTTTACTGCAGGAGGAAAAATAACGGAAATTGAATTTGGAGAGGATTACAGTAAATTTGTCAAGTAACCTGTTGTGTGTGCCTTGGTTCACTTTACATTAGTGACCCCTGCTAGTGTCATCACCACCCTGAGTAACATGTGTCATCACCTTCAGTGACACGTGTCATCACCACCCTGAGTGACATGTGTCATCACCTTGAGTGACACGTGTCATCACCACCCTGAGTAACATGTGTCATCACCACCCTGAGTGACACGTGTCATCACCACCCTGAGTGACACATGCCATCACCACCCTGAGTGACACGTGTCATCACCACCCTGAGTGACACATGCCATCACCACCTTGAGTGACACGTGTCATCACCACCCTGAGTGACACGTGTCATCACCACCCTGAGTGACACATGCCATCACCACCCTGAGTGACACGTGTCATCACCACCCTGAGTGACACATGCCATCACCACCCTGAGTGACACTGTCATCACCACCCTGAGTGACACATGCCTCACCACCCTAGAGTGACACGTAGTCATCACCACCCTGAGTGACATGCCTCACCACCTTGAGTGACACGTCATCACCACCCTGAGTGACACGTGTCCCAATCAACCACCCTGATGACACTGGCCATCACCACCTTGAGTGACAGTGTCATCACCACCTGAGTGACACGTGTCATCACCACCCTGAGTGACACATGCCATCACCACCTTGAGTGACACGTGTCATCACCACCCTGAGTGACACGTGTCATCACCACCCTGAGTGACACGTGCATCACCACCTGAGTGACACGTGTCACACCACCCTGAGTGACACGTGTCATCACCTACCCTGAGTGACACGTGCCTCCACACCATTGAGTGACACGTGTCATCACTACCCTTGAGTGACACCGTGTCGCACTAACCCTGAGTGACACGTGTCAGCACACACTGAGTGACACGTGTTACACCACCCTGAGTGACATTGCATCACCACCCTGAGTGAAATTATTCACACCCTTGAGTGTACATGGGCATCACCACCTGAGTGACACGTGTTTTCACACCCTGAGTGACACAAAAAATACCAACCCCGAGTGACAAATTTAACAACAGGAATGTGCATCACCCCCAGATGACACGGCCCTCACCTTTATGACACGGTCATCAACCCCGAGGACA